CCCCCGCCGCCGCCGCCGCCGGATTGATACATCCCCATTGACGTCGCTTTGACGCCAGAGCGACGCGCGGCCAAGCGCCAAGCGAAGGGAGAGCGGGAGATCGGGCCGTTGCCAAGAGACTGGCGGCTCTGACGCGCGCGCTGATGGGGCTGTCGCCCTGGCGACCGCGGAGCGGTGACGTCAGGGGCGCCGGCCGCCGGAGGCCCGCGGAGGCCTGCCCTCCCGCCCGCGCCCGTGTTCCCGCCGCGCGCGCCCCCTACCGAGCGCCGCGGGCTCTGCAGGCGTCTTGACCTCCAGTCCCGGGGCTCAGCCTTCCACCTGCGCGCGCGCGCACAGCAGCCTTCGCGCGGCGCCACCTCTTTCGCGCTCCCCCCAAAAGCTTGGTTCTAGGGCGGTTCCCAAACCCCACGAAGTGCAGCACAGCGGTGGCTGAGTCCTCTTTGGAACCCTAGTCCAGGGTCCCCGTTTTCGGGGAACGGGGCCCATGTGTCTCCCAATTTCCAACGGAAGTGCTCGGCCTTCTCGCAGAATGAGGCCACCCGGGGTGCCAGGTGACAGCACGCCAGCTCCCACTCCCCGAATTGGCCCGCCCCATCCCAGAGAAGCGCCGCCAGCCCCCCGGGGGACCCTCTGGAGCTCGGCAGCTGCGGATCTGCAGAGTCTGCGGGCAACCCGCCTCCGACTACTTTTGTTCTGCACGAATCTCTATTGTTTAGCTAGTGAGAAACTTAAACGCAGGGAACCGGAGCAGCATCTTCTGACCACCTACCTACCGACCCGCACAGGTGGCCGGCGGGTGCGATGGATCGGTTGTCCTCCTGGCAGTGCCCCACCCGCGGCGCGGCGGGGGCCTGGTTCTGCTCGCCCTGCCCTTTCTCCATCAGATCTGCGGGTCAGCAGCCCGTGAGGACCGGAGGGGTGCTGGGACCTCTGTCAGGGAATCCACGGACTTTGATGAAGGCACCCAGTAGGGTGCAGAGCCAGAAGGCCGATTTCTGGGAAGGCCAGAGGTGTAGGTGGAAGTGGGTCTTCAGGTTCTTGGGACCTGCTATGGGAAACCGAGTTAGCAACACCCTCAGTGAGGCGGTGGTGGTTCTTTTGTTTGCGGGGTCCTCAGACAGGTGCCCTGGTGCTGTGTGTCCAGACAAGGGAAGGACTCTGCTCCTTGGGGGAGCATCCCCTCTGCAGAGGGCCAACAGGTGGGGTCCACATCAGGCCAGGACTTCCTCCTTGCCAGCACGGGACATTTGCAGGTCTTGTGGGGTGGGTTACTTCTGTCTGTTGCCTGTTTCCCCAGAGCTGCTGGGGAGCAGTCCTGTGCCCCTCCAGGCTGGTGCCCCACAGCCTTGTCCCTGTTAAAGGGGAGGCTGGACAGGATGAAAATGGCACTGGGTGACAACCTCCGTGGGTACTGCTGCTCACTCCATGTTCCTTTATGAAAATAAAGGTTCTCTATGAAAATAGAACGTTCTCTAAGGAAGACAGAGGCTATGGGTGAATGGTATTTTTTGAACATTAGGCATTAGGAAGGCAGTGGTGTGGAATTTAAATTCTATATCTAACCTCAAATCATTTTCCCTTGTGTTACACGAAAATACTACTTCATAGGAGGGGCTGGGGAGCAAGAATTAAGTGAGATGGATGCAGAACTTAGAAGCCTTCTTCTGGAGGCTTCCATGTGTGGGCAGTCGCCTGGAGACGTGGCTGGCCTGGCAAGGGTACCACGTCGGACTCAGATGTGCTTCTCCTGATGCGCGGTCGGTAGCCTGACCAAATATTTCCCAATCACCCCTCCCTGGGCGCTTGTTCATGGGTCAGTTGTGAAAGGCCTCTCAAGGATACCAATAACCCCGGAGTTTTCCTTCGTCTTTCAGAAGTGTGCTTACTATCTGTCCCGGCTTTATCCACTGAGAATTTGGAGGAGGATTTTTACTCTCTTCCAGCTGAATCATTTACAACTGCTTTTCATCCCTTCTGGGAGGTCCCACTCATCTGTTCCTAGGAGAGCAAGACTCAGAGAGAAGAAACCAGGGACCTGAGTGCACTCACCTGCTGCCCCTCATTCTGTGACCTCAGAACTTCCCACAGGCTCATCCAGGGGCATTCAGCAAACTGGACTCCTCCACCCCCTCCCACCCCAGGTTTAGCCAAGTCTTTTGAAAGGTCATAGGTGTTTGCAAACACCTGGCTGGCTGTTTGGAAACATTTTGTCATCGCTGAATAAAGACTGCAGTCGGCAGAGCCATCGCTGAATAAAGACTGCAGTCGGCAGAGCCAAAGCTGCCTTCCTAGAGAATGTCCCTGCAGCCACGCTCTCTCTCGACCCCCCACACTCGCAGCCCATCCTGAGCAGCCCTGCGTGGGGGCTGTGGCCACCTCCCAGCCCTTGGGCGGAGAGCGCGCTCTGCAGAGAATGCAGGCAGGGCCAGAGGAAAAGTCTGACCTCAGAACGGCTGCCATCTCTCCCAGTGGGGTTCCTCCTGGCACCCCCACGAATGCCACTGATGGGCCTCTGCTCCCAAGTGTCTTTGATTATTGTTTGCTTCCTTGGCACAGGGAGGCCAGAACTGCTTCCAGAATCCTTGATTTCTTTTCAGATTTCTAGTCTTGCATGCTTTGCACATGTTATGAGGGAGGGAAAAAAAATACATAGTGTGTGCTTCAGGAGAGGTAAGCAAATGATCGGACGAATCCTCCACTTAACATAATGGAAGAAATGCTCTCAAAGTCTGAAAGAATGTGCTGTTGGGTGTGTGTGTGTGTGAGTGTGTGTGTGTGTGTGTGTGTGTGTTGTATATCGTTGCAGACTCGGGAGAAGCAATAACTCAGATTTCTTTTCCATTTGGAATTTCTTAAGCCTGACTTATAATTGCAACATTTCTGGAATTCATCTTACAGTTTTTAGGTCTTGAGATGGGGAGACCCCTAGCAAGTGGGTCTCTTTAATGTTCACACATTCCTGGCTGGGCACCCCAAGGTGCAGAGCAAGAACAAGCCATAAAATTCTCGAAATAAGTCAATAAATGCAGAGTGGGGTTTGAAGACAGCATTTACACAGATGAAGGAGTGCGCCAGCCTGTCCCCAGTGGGTCTTTTGAAACTGCTTCCTCCGGATTAAAGGTGGTGGGGACAGCAGTGCCCCTTTCAAGATGGCTTTCCTTTTGTCACCAATAGGAAGACAAGGCGCTTTTCTTTCTGGACGCTCTTCTCCTTCTCTGTCCTCCTGGCTGTTTCATTTGGTTTCGTGTGGTTTATTTAAGGCATCAGCCCGATGATTTCAGGTATCAGAAGATAAGCTGGCCTGCCATCAGCATCCTCAGGCCTCGGGGGGTGGCCCTGGTCCCTTCTGCTGTGTGTTACATTTGCAGACGGGTGCACACTGCCCTGGCCTGGGGGTCGGCAGGTGGGAAGAAAGCACTAAGCCTCAGTGGACAACCTGCTCCGGCGGTATCACTTCCTACCTCACTGTTCCTCTGGGATGCATTTGGTCTGCGACTGCCTCGGTGGCCGTCACAGTCCTCATCCCAGGCCCTCCGCAGGCTGGAGGGAAGGCATCCTGGGTCTTGGGGACACTGGGGCTGGGGTATGGGCCCTGGGGAGGCCCGCAGAGGCAGCCACAGGACAGGCAGGGCTCCAACGTCCTGGGCTTACACACATACCCACACCAGCAAACACGTCCTATTGTCGGACCAGTTTGCTCTTGCTTGCAGAGTTCTAGGGCTCTGGTTCCCACTTCTGTCTCTGTCACCAGTGAGGAATCACCAATATGGCTAATGGGCTTGCCTGATATTAAAGCAAGGCTGTGGTTGATGCCAACAGGCCTTTGGATGTCTGTGTCCCTAATCAGTATTCTGTAGACAGCGGTCTTAAGGGAGCTGGGGATGGGAGGACACTCAGGGCGAGGGAGCAGCAAGGGCCTGAAACACAGGCATCAGTACTTATCAGGGACTCGTTTAAGTAAAGCAACACCCAGAAACCTGGTGGAGGCGCTCACATGTCCTGGGCGCATCCCCAGAGTAAACCAGCTGTCCTCAGGTGGAAGGAACGCACACCTGTAAATGCCATGGCTCCCACCATCTTACTGGTGGTCCCGAGCAAACTTTTCTTTTGGGGAGAAAAGTTCTGCTCCTCTGGGGAGCTCTGGCCTCGTGCAGACCAGGAACCAGGACCAGGAGCCCCAGTGTGGCCACATCCCTTATTCTGGGCTTTGCACGGGCAATGCACAGAGCACCCTGATTCCTTCTGGGGGTAGCGCCTCTCGTCTGATTGTCTCTGAGGTATCCGCTGGCATCAAGCATGGAATACTGTCTTTTTTATAACTACCCACTCATTCAGAAACAATGTGAGTTTCTACTGTTTGTCAGAACTGTGAACAGGCGAGCGCCCAGACTCCGGCGAGGACTGTGACAGACGTGCTGGCCGGGACGGAGTGGGCAGGGAGGGGCAGGTCTGCCAGGGAGGGGAGGTGCCCGGGTCAGGCGTCCACCCAGGCTCCTGAGCGTCTGCCGTGTGCCAGGCATGGTTTGGGAACAGCACAGCAGGAAGGGAACAAGCAAGGTGCCTTCT